TTTTTGGAACAGAGTATTTAAAATCACATAGCGTTTCAGGAAAAGGTTCTAATAAAACCAAAAGTAAGCCAAGACCGGCTATTGATTCAACGAAGGCTCTTGCGATCTGAGGTAATAATTTTATGAAGAATTACGTAAAGTGATCCGTTTTGCATGCTATTTTAAAAAGTTCGTGCTATTTACAAATAGCAATGCGCAGAAAAATATATGTACTTGTAGTTGGTCAAGCTTTTTGAATTTAAAATATCTTATTTATTACGGAATGTTGGTTTTTAGAAATCAAATTAAAAATAGTAATTTTTAGAATTTTTAACAGTTTTAATCACTATCACAGGAAATTACTAATCTATAACTTAAAATTAAACTACTTATATCTGAAAAACCTTTTTTGTTATAGATATTTTTGAATTTTATTTAAAAACTGCGCGTGGTTTGAAAGGATCGGACCTGTTAGATGAAGTCGATGCTTACGAAGAGTACATTCGGCAGAAAATTAGAGACTTAAATCGACCACCAAGAACTAAAAAATTTGATCTAGGTATGTAAAAGTTTTAAAAACCTGTGGCTTTAAATAATAAATGAAAAAATAATAATATTTTTTAATTTATGCATGTTTTTACAAAAATATTTCCACGAAATATAAATAATTTAGAAGATTTTATAGAAATTTGTCCATTGAATTACTTTTTTTTCTATTTACACAGATTTATCCATAATATTTCTGAAGCAGTTAAATACAGCTAAAATGTGAATTATTAAGTCAAAACTTAGATGAAATAAGGAAGTCCAATCTAAATCCAATCACTCATTCGTTAGTACTGGATGTTCACATAGGAAATGATCACACAAATACTGACCAATAAAATTTGATACATCCCAATTGAATTCTTCAACTTTGCTATTGGTATGGGTATCTATTAGGATATACTGCGACAAAAACACAATAGATACCGATAAGTTTTTTTTTCTAATGGAATCTATTGGACGTTTTCAACAGGGTAGGTAGGAATGTCATGTGTTGGACACATCAGATTTTTTTTTTAGAAGTTCAGTAAAAGAATGAGGACTTTTTGTTTACCGCAACTCCTTTATTCACTTTTCAAAAAGGTGGCAACCCTACTCAGGTCATTTACGAAAAAACGCTCGGACCCGTAAATTTTTGATTTTAGGGGGAAACATTTTTTTGCCAGTTTCACTCCCTAAATGGAAACCCTTTAGCGGGAGTAAAACTTCCCCCTAAAATCCTATTTTGAATGTATTTTTACCTAGATTATAACCCCCGAGTTTAAATCGCCAGTGATGTTGGCTGGTTGGCCATAAGTTTTAAGTGGCCCCATAAAAAATTTAACGGGGATAGATCCGATAACCGTTGGGGCCACCCAATACTTCCTTTTCGTCCGACCCATTGACCTGAAAATGTTTGATTCAAATACTGACGAACAATCAGTGGAAAATGGGCTGGCGCACCGTCTTGCTGGAATATTAAGTTGTTTGCTATATACTGATCGTCATTCTCAATCACCTCTAGTAATGCTGAATGAATGTCGTTTCCTAATAATTCCAGATATATTTCTGCGGTTAGAGTTCCAGGTAAAAAAAGGGGCCAATTATACGATTCCCAAAAATGCCAGTTCAAACATTTAGTTTTTCCGAATGTTGCGTATGCAGTTCATGAAATATTCTGGGATTTGGATCAGACCAATAATGACAGTTGTGACAATTTACCGTACTATTTAGGAAAAGAGTGTATTCGTCAGAAAAAAACACGTTGAAAAGAAATTGCTGACCATTTATTGCTCGTTCAGTCATAATTTCACAAAATTGTAATCGCCTATCAAAATCGTCTTAGTTAAGTTCTTGTACCAAATGTATTTTTTAGGGATGATACTTGTGTTTTTTCAATATCTTCTGAATGCTACTTCTCTTAATACCAGATGTTATCGCCAACTGTCTTGTGCTCAATGTGGGTTCTTGAACAACATGCCCTAAAATCGCCACCTCTGTACCATTTACTACAGCATTTTCCATTTCACGTTATTTGTTAGTTACTGACCTGGTTTCCCAAAATTTTTGGACTAACTCCAAAATATACTTGCGATGGACTTGTCGATTTTGATTGTTAAACAGTTGGGCAATTCTATTAGCACATCCATTGTTCGCAAAAAAAGGGAAATTGAGTAAACCATTATCACTGATATGCCACTTTTATACCGACTCTATAAAGAAAGGAACTACACCTTACTACTTTACAGCGACCAAAGAATGTCATCTAATAACAATAAAACTAGAATTGTTACAAAAAATTTCTTTTTTTTTTAATAACAATGTAAAGATTATGTTAAACCGGTTTTGTACTTTTGGTTAGCCACTGTATGGGCTACGTAGATAGTAGCGATGTAAAACTCGGGGGTTATAATCTAGGTAAAAATACCTTTAAAATAAGATATCATTAGACCCCTCTTTGCATTTAAAATTTTAGGGTTGACTCTCATCCCCGATAGAGGGTTTCCGTTCAAGACAAAAAATGTTACTCGCGAGCACTACTAGAGAGCTGCTTCCGACTCTAAATGAACGTTCCTTTTTAACGGTGCTTGATATGGAGCAACTTCCAAATGTTCTTCCATCTCCCCTCAAGCATTTGCTCGATAGCATATGTACAGAGCTCTTGTCTTGTTAATTGTAGACCGTTATTAGTTGTTCTTTTTTGACGTCATAGGGTTTTATACATCAAGAATATTAAACCTTTAAGTCTAAGTTCAACGCTTTGCCAATGACAACTGACGCCGACTTTTTTATCACAAAAAAATACAGCTCCGAACAATAATAATTTCAGAAATTGTTTTTAAAAATGGGTTCAGAGTACGGTAAAGAATGGTGGAAGGTCTATAGTTTGTTTTACTTTTAATGCATAATATTTTAATAAGTGATATTTAACAAATATTTAAAATTTATAGACTTTCCACTATTTTTTATAGTATTTAAAAGCTGAAACGCAAAATACACTCTTTTATTTGTGTCCTAATTCCTTAAGGAAACTTTTATTAAGATTTAAAAATGTACTGTCGATGACGTGGAGCCAATTTGCAACCGTACTAATTCGAAACATACGTTTTATTAAACATATCGTGTTAAGTATTTGTTAAAATTAAGAGATAGAAATTTAAAGTGACGTCTTGTATTACTTCGAAAGAAAAATCGTCTTAAAACTAAGAAAAAAATTGAGTTGGGTCTTAAGAAGAAAGCTTTAATATTTTAAATTAGGATTATCGCAACGTGCAACGTCTCAGCACACAACTCTAACAGCCAATGAAAAACTGATGCAGCATTGAGGCACCCTGTCGCTCTACGAACTTGGGCCAAGACAGCTTCTTCATTTCACTTATTGGCACTTTTTGTCCATGTTGTGCTATTCGCACCCAGTTGAAAAATGCTCTGGGTGCAGAGGATTTGGCACCTATGTAAATATTAGACTATGTGTTTACAGAACAAAAATAATGTAATTAGAAGAACACTATTTGTTAATTTTTAAGATAAAAATGTGATTTCTTTTTAGTAGTCGGCCAGGCATATCCTAGTAGTAGTCAGCCAGACATATCCTAGTAGTAGTCAGCCGCCAATACATTGAAGCAATTTACTTCAGATCAGTACTTACAAAATTTTATTGTAACAATTTAAATTAAAAACGTTCTCTGTAAAAATGAGACAAGTGGGTAATAATAATCAAAATTGAAAACAAAAATGTTTTTTTTAATAAATTATTTAGAAAATACGTAAGGATTAAAAAATTAAATTGTATGAAAACAAACATAAAAAAGCAAACAAAACTGAATTAACCAGTCAACTATCTTTCTCTCATTTTCTAAACTTCAAAACAGGACTGGACCCATCTTTCGTGGTTTTTTATTTATTTTATTTTTTTATTTTATTTTATTTTATTTATTAAATACACTATTCTACAAGTAATACCCAATTACAGAATAGGAAAATATGACAAAAATATTTAGACGAAACGTACAAAAATGAAAAATATTACAGGAAATAAAGTACAATGATGGTTATCCTAAATAATGCCTTTTGATATCCTGAATACTAATGTGGACACGGTGTCGTTGAAGGGCGAAAAAGTTTGCCAAAAATGGCGCTAAAATCTGAGTATAGGGGGCTGTTCTACATGCAATAAAGAGTCGATATTCGCTTACAGAAAAATCGGGACTGCTTATTTTCAATATTTAGGGTTGTAAAATGAATTTCAACCTGAGGGTGTAGAATGACCGTTGAATTCAAATGGAGAGAGTCCCACATGCACACTAGTATACGAACGGGTGTATACAGTTACAGGCGCGGAACTGTAAACACACACACACACACACACACACACACACACACACACACACACACACACACACACACACACACACACACACACACACACACACACACACACACACACACACACACACACACACACACACACACACACACACACACACACACACACACACACACACACACACACACACACACACACACACACACACACACACACGTATTAACCTGCACACACATGTCCACACAAATGAATACGCAAATGTAAACACAAGAAACCACGCGAAACTGCAGATTTCAACCGTATCTCCCCCTCTCGCTGTCGGTAAAACACTCGTGAAAATGCGCGCAATGATGTTATCAATATTCTGCGACATTCCGAGGGGAAAATAGATTTTTATTTTTAATCATGTTGATCCCGTTAAATATAAAATGTGATCACAAAGAAAATCGACTTAAAGTTTGTGCGCCTTGTGGTCGGAAATTGGCTTTGGGGACAAAAAAAATAGAGACTTGTGAACCATCTCGAAAAAAATAACCCAGTTTTTTCTTTCGAACGTTTGAATAATTTACGAGTTAACACTGGAGCTTCTTTAAGACAAATGTCTAAAATCACTAATTTCATTCGTTCTGTTGCTGGGAGAAAATCCGTTCCGTCTTATCATTCGAAACACATGACAGAAAATTCAAAAACGCTCTTGGATATTTACCACCAAGATCAAGTGGAATTTGACGTTGAAAATAGCGGAGCAAAAGAAAAACGCACTGTCATCTGGGCGAATGCTGAGGAGTTGATTGAGTCTGTTATTGAGAAGCGCAAGCTAGAAGGATTTTATTTAATAAAGATTATGGCTGATGGGGGACAGGGGTTTTTCAAGGTTTCCATGACAATTTTGCCAGCAAACGACGATCCAGCGTACGACAGTAATCTTGCAGATCACATACCAGGAAAACGATCAAGGTATGCTGAAGGCGGAATGGTCGGTAAAAGAGCGAATTGGACCAGCGTCAAAAAACTTATTATGTTAGCCATAGTTCCCAAAATCAAAGAAACGTACGAAAACCTGAAGGTGTTATTTGATTTAACTCAGCTGAATAATGTTCCATTCAAATTCGTAGCATACTTTAAGTTGCTTTTGATTGTCAATGGACAGCAAACGGCCACCTCTACGTACCCTTGTCCGTACTGTTTTGTGACTTTGGATGAATTGAGATATCGCGATCTCGAAGAGAGGAATGTTATGCCTTCTGCTGATATTTTGAAAACATATGGACATCTGAAAGACGACCATAGTCGATTTTGTGCTGACGGAAAAAATAAAAAACTTGCAAGATATTCCAACAGTACAGTGAATCCTCCTTTGTTCAGAGAAAAAGACGACTTTACTATGTTGGAAAAATGCCCACCTCCCGAGCTACACCTCCTACAAGGGTTTGTAAACCATTTGTTTTGGTCTGGTTTGGTACCAATTTTAGGCAAAGAAAGGGCCCTTCTTTGGCCAAAAAAATTGAACATCATTCACAAAGGCTACCATGGGGAGGTTTTCGAAGGAAATGCTTGTAGGATCTTGCTGAAAGAGGCAGAAAGGTTGAACGATACCGAAATATGTCAGGAATGTGGTTACTTCCGGATTTTCCCCTTCATTGCCGCTTTCAAAATAATGGATCAGTTGGTTGAAAACTGTTTCCGCGTGGAAAGACGACCTTGTAATGTTGAGAAATTAGTTGGAGACTTCCACAAAGTAGTGGAAAGTACAGGGGTTACCATCACCCTGAAACTTCACGTCATCTTAACTCATCTGAAAGGGTCACTAGAGTTTCTGAACGCCAACACTGGTTTGGGCCTCTGGTCAGAACAAGCTGGTGAAAGTGTTCACCATGAATTTTTAAAATACTGGGACAGATACAAGATCAATGCGATTGATGCTCCATCTTACGGTGAGAAATTGAGAAGAGCAGTTGCAGAATTTTCGTCCTTGCACATTTAATTATTTCCAATCGCTCACTTTATTATAAATAATTTAAGAAATCAAACTATTGTTTTAAGGAGTTTTTGTGTTTTTGTACTTAAGGAATAAAAAATGTATCGAACAAAGGCCTTGTGTCTCTCTGTAATGAATTGTCTAATGGAAACCCGATTACTATCTCCTAAATTTATACACTCTCAATAAAATTCAAGTTTTATACTTGCTATTACCGAAAATAAGCAGTCTCAAAGTTTAAATTCACCGGAAATTCTATGCCATCAGGCTGAAATTCAATTTTTAGCCCTACCTCTTGAAAATAAGCAGTCCTGATTTTTCTGTAAGCGAATATCATTTCATTATTGGGTGTAGGACAGCCCCCTATACTCAGATTTTAGCGCCATTTTTGGCAAACTTTTTCGCCCTTCAACGACACCGTGTGGAATATATCCAATTCCTGACTTATCTGATTATAATTATTACACATATTATACAACGGTGAGTTCATTAAAATATTAGTACGAGGTGTTGGTAAGTAAAATGAGTCAGTATATCTTGAGGCTAGACGTGAAACTTTTAAATTAAGCATATGTAATAGACATTCGCAGTTTATTTGATTGCTTATGACCTTATGCAGCATAATTATAGAAAAATATTTTCGCCTTATATCGAGACTTGAAAATCCATGTTTATTTAATAAGGCGTCGTGTGGGGTCCCAATAGGTGGATAAACTAGATCATTTCTAAAACTTAAGTATTTTAGGAATCGTCTCTGAATTCCTTCCAAACGACCAATGTGTACTTGATACAATGGACTCCACTTGTGGCATACATACCTTCGTATGCCATAATTTTAATGCAGTTTTTCGTAATCTACTCATCAAGACAATTCGATCTGTACCTACTTTCAATTTTTGGTATTTGGGGTGCCTTAAATGCTATTTAGGTTTGAGTTGTGTATTTCATATTTGTGGAATCCCAAACTCTGCTGCTTTGAGAGCCCTCTAGCGAAATGTATCCATTCTGGTAATTTCATAATTGTGGAAACGTCACATCTGGTAGCAATAATTTAGAAATACCAGTTTTGTTTCATTGGATTAGATATTTTCTCGCTGTTAAACTGGTTGGTAATAAAGCATTTGTGGCAACTTTTCTTTCTACTTGTTTATTGCTCGGAGATCTTATTTAGTTGAATGATTAAGTTTAAAAAAATACGTATTTTGACCGTGACGAAAATAAATTATGTAGATGCCCTTAGTACTTATGAAAAATTTTAAAATTCAGGTTCTGCTCTCTCTAAATATATCTTTCGCTTTTGTTTTTTTATATTAAATATATAAAATAAAACTAGATAAATATCTAAGGTCGATATTTGAAGGATGGTCGACATTTAAAGCAAGGGTATATTAAAAAACAATAATTCAAATAGCAACAAGAGTGGGTATGAACAATCCACTTGAGTTGTAGAGTATATTTTTTCTACCACCCACTAACGAAAATCTAAAAATAATAAAAATAATTTTAGGTTATTAAGGTTAAATAATTAATTTAAAAATAATTTAGGACTGTTACTAAATTATAAAATAAAATAAACAAGAAAACATATTCATTTCATTTTTCTCCATCTGAGATTTGAACTCAAGTCTTCCGTATGGAAGGCAAGAACCCTGACCACAGGACTATATACGCGTTTATTTTTTTATTTTAATCCTTGTAATTAATTTGACTTCGTATAGTTTTATTTAAATTTACAAATTATTTATAATTATAGACGAAATAAAAATATAAATTCTATTATTTATTGATTCTACACAAGAATAACTCATTTTAATGTATGTTTAATCTGAATAACTAAAAAATATACTGACAATTAGTTTGACGGTATTGTCATTTATTTAAAATTTTAAAAATAATAGCAGGCGGTTGATCAAAATATGATCTGTGATTAATGGATTTAATTTTTTTTGAAGTGTGCTCACTACCTAGAATGGATATCAAATATATTCGTTCAGTTGAAGGCAATAGCATGCTTTTTCGTTTTGTAATCTCTGCGTAGATAAGCTAATATCCATGTGAGTCTAAAAAAATAATTATTTTTTTCTACGATCACTATCCAAAGTAGACTTTTGGGCTTCGAAATACAACCGCAAAGTTGACTTTTATATAAATAAAAAATTTCCTAGGTTTAATCGGTCAATCTTTTTATTTTCAAACGATTAGCACTACATATGTTTCGGAAATTGATTTTTCCATCTTCGGGTGCAGTCAAAAGTTAAAATTAAAAAAAAATCAAAGGGGACGATTACATCAGTTTAAAAAAAATTTAAAATAGCAAAACCCCTTCTTTTCCTGTCATCGTGTGAAGGTGTATTCGAAATAATATTGATTTGGTTTAACACGATAACGACAAAGTATGGAAACAAGAAGATGAGTTTTTACAAAATTAAAAATTACCAGTGGCGTTACATTTAAGGATTAGAAGCTTACAATTATTTAATAATATTAAAATAAACGTTTGACAAATCCTTTATGTCTCTTTTATTATTTACACAATTGTTATTTATTTTTTTTTTTTTCGAAAATTCTTACATTTTCAAAATCGAAAGAGTGCAAATTTTCTAACGCATGTTTAGTTAGGGCAGTGGCATTTTCATTATTAGTTGCGGTATTATTTTTATGGTTTTTTATTCTTTTATGTAGATATTGTTTTGTTTGTCCAATGTAAGTGGAATTACAGTCTTTGCAGTCAATTTTATAGACAACGTTTGTTTGATTTATTTTACTAATTTTAGGATTAAAATAACGTTGTAGTTTTATTGTTAGGTTTACGCAAAGTTGACGTTTTCCGCAAACTGACATTAAGTGACATATTTGTTGATCGCCTAATTTAAGTTAGATATAATATAATAATATTTCTTTTTAATAAATGGTTTGCAAGTTATTTGCACGTAGTTTGATGTTTTGTTGTTTTACCTACGACAAATTTTCAGTTTTTATATCTATTTCTTAAAATAATGTGATCGTAGAAAAAATCTTGTGGGCATTTTGAGCGCAAAGTTTATTGCCGCTTTCGACAGGCGTCGCGTGGTCAACTTTCTGTCTCAAGCGCGCAAAATATTACTTTTCGCTATCAACAAAGAATCTCAGGGACCTACCAAAATAGCTTCCAAATTTAAAAATCGTTTTCGGGAAATGTATTACTTCGAAATAGAACAAAGTACATATAACGTTAATTTAATAAGCGAATATGTAGTACCTAGTTATTTAATTAAACGTACTAAATTTGGCAACCATGAAGATTTCACCTCGAAAGACACAAAATATTTGTCCTCTTACTATAACAAATAAAGAACCTCTGTCTAAGCGCTGAAGGTCATCTTACACGAATAATTAGTATTAAAGCATTTCTGGAAACCTTCTCTTCCAACTGTTTACATCATTATAACTTTCTTTGTATTTGTCCGAAGTTTTGGATAGGTTTAGTTTAAATATTCTTATCTAACGGGATGGTACTTTTTTCAATGCTTCAGAAAAGGTGCTAAGCCCGAAATAAGGTTTTCGTCAACAAATATAGTGCGATTTCTTACGACAAATTGCCTTAAAATCAATAATATTAAGGATTATTTTAGCTTACAAAAGTGCCTCGTCCAAAACAAAGTTGTTACATCAAGAGTTTTGTTGTTCTAAAAAAGGTTTCCTGTAAAATTTGTTTTTTGATAATTACAACCTTGTTCGAGCATGTATTCAATTATTGCTATATACAGGGTGAACGTAAGTTAATACTTATAGAAGTCGCTAAAGTAAATATGTTTTTGAAAAACCTTTTTCAAAAAACTCATAAATTAAAAAGATACAGCATTAAAAAATCTAAATCCGGGCCTAGACTTGTGTATTAAAAGTTAAACTAATTAATGAGTTTGTGTATGTTTTTAAAGTGTTTCCGTTTTTCGTGTGAATCATGATTCAATGTGTACCGTTAACTGTAATTGAGTCGCGTGTGATTTCGATAATGTGTTTATTTGAACTAGTTAATTTATATTGTTTAATATGGTAAATTGAAAAGTGTATGTAAAAGAACATATTTTAAATATTATCAAGGAGATCCAACAACAAATACGTGGGTGATTGTAGATCAGGTAGAATAAGTCAAAGAAAAGTGTGAACAACATTGCGAGAAAACCAATTGTATCTCTTTCACGTTCAATGTGTTCAAGCCCTACATGTTGAAGATTTCCCAACAGTTCAGTTTTGTGAATGGATCTTAAATCTCATGAATATGATCAACATGTTCCGACGAAAGTTTTACACATTATTTGAGTTAGTTCTGACCGTATTGGACACATTTTGGTATAAATAAGGTAAGTTTAATATTTTTGAAAAAGTTATTTGAAATTAGAACGGTCATGTTTTAACAGCGTAATCTACATCCTAAAATAAGAGTAAAAGTTTACATAAACGTTTTGTTTTCGAGATAAAGGGTGTTAAAAGTGAAGTCCTGATGACAGTTTTTTGTGAATATTTTCTAAATTTTTAAAGATAACTAAGTGAAATTTAGTACAAATGCTAAACTTTTTAGGCTCTATTTAATGAACTAAGCGCCAGTTTTTGATTATCTTCATAGGTGGGTAAATTAGGAGAGGGGCTTAGGGTTAAATTGTCCTAAGTTTTTTTGTTGACTGTTTTTAACATTTTTGACTACAAAATTTGGAAAACAAATATTTTTTTATAATAAAGCTACTTTAGTTGTATCGCGCTAGGACGCACCATTTTCAATAAAAAAGCATTTGAAAATTTCATGATAAGTAGATGTTATCTTATTCAAAAATGTAAACAATAATTAGTAGATAAAAAAATAATTCCAACTCAAATGTGATCAAGAAGTAAAATAAAATAAATAAAAAAAACTAAAAGCCAATATCACTTTCTTAACACACTTCTCATATGAGTAAGCCTTTAATATGTCAACATGATAATTACACAGGTATGCCATTAATATATCAACATGATAATCAGTACACAAATAT